CGAGAGAGAAGAAAACATAAACAAAAAAATAAAAAACAACTAAAAGTCATTTTTCATTTTTCTCTCATTTTACACTAAACTAAAAAATTATTTTTATTTCTGTTTTTTATCTTTAATTATATCAAATCCCGTTTTTTTTTTTTTCATGTTTTCATTTTTTTTCTCAAAAAAACGTGAGAAACAACCCTGTTTGTTTCCATTTTCATTTCCATTTTTCACGTTTTTCGAGACTAAAAAATGAAAACGGAAACAAAAAATGCGTTTGGCTTAAAAAATTTTTAAAAATAAAAACAAAACCATTTTTGTCTTTTGTGAAAAAGTGAAAACGAAAAAAATATGTTTTCATTTTCTCGTTTTCGTTTTCTAAAAAAGGATTTCATTTTTTTTTTCATTTTCTTCTCTCTCTTTTCTGAAACCGTTTTTGTCTTATATAATGATGTTTATTTAATATATTTATTTAATATATTATTATTTTAAATATTATTATATGTTTTCAAAAATTAAACCACCAAACGCAGTTTCAGTTTTTTTAAAACTGAAATCAATCTCTGAATAAAACTACCAAACATTTTTCAGAAATAATTTTAAAATGAAAATGAAAACGTTTTCATTTCTATTTTCATACAGAAAACAAAAATATTTTGGAACCAATTCCAAACGCACACAAAAATAACACCAAACAATTTTAAAGTATTTTTATTACTACCGTAGAACGTGCCAAGGGCACGTTCCTGAAGCTAGTAATTATTCTAACTGTACAACTCTAACCATATGGAAATATAATCATTATTACAAAGACACAAGCTTTATGGGGTTTGGTTTTGGTGGGTTGGGTCTTGGTGAGTTCTTGTTTTTTTGTCGTTGCAACGCCAAATTTTGAATTTCTAATTTATTGTTGTTTTGTCGTCTCATGTGAAGAGGAAGGAGATTAGTTCTTGATCACATGAGAATGCGAAAATATATGGTTTTCTTGATCATATGGGATTAAAATCTGGGTTTGGTTTTGTGTTAAAAAAAAACCTTCAAAATAATTTGGGTTTTTTTCTCCCAATGTCCTGTTTCAAATAATTTGGGTCTTTATTTTTTATTCCTGATTATGGTTTGAAGAATTTGTGTCTGATATGGGTTTTATTTCGTTTTTGCTTCTTGTATTCTCAGTTTAGACAAAGGTAGAATAAAGTCTAATATGATTCTTTCTTTTTTCTCTTTTAGTTTTTTTGAAGTTGGTCCATTCAATTTGTTACTCCAATCAGAGTGGAGGTTTGGAAGATGTCGTTTGATAAAGTGAGAAGTTGGGGAGTGTAGGAGAGATTTTAGAGTTTTTGATTATTTTTGTTTAATTCCCTATTTGAATAATCAGAAAATACCATCAATGCCCTTTATTAGTTGTTCACGTGTAAGTCACATGGAAAAAATCATCAACAATCGTTGAAAATTTAACAGACGTTAAAAGACTAACAATGCAATAGATTTTGAAGTTTAAGGTTTGTTTAAAGACCAATCCGCCCAACACGAAAAGTTTAGGAGGATCCATGTAAAAAAGTATTTTTTTATAAGAACTTGCGGTCAAAGTTATAAAATGTCGATTATAAAAAACATTTTTGAATACGCTTTGACACTTATATAAGAGTTTATTAAAACATTATAAACTTTATTTAAATATTTTTATTATTTGTTAGAGAATTTAAAAATTATTTTGACTCATAAAAATTTCTTTAAAATATAATTACAAACATTTCCTGAAAAATTATAGGTCATGTTTAGAGTTGGTTTTATTTTTGTTTTTCACGTTTTTCGAAAAAGAAAAAATGAAAACATGAGAGAAACGGCGTTTGACACAATTAAAGACAAAAAATGAAAATGAAAATAATTTTTTAGTTTAGTATAAAATATGAGAGAAATGAAAAATGACTTTCAGTCATTTTTTATTTTTTATTTCCGCGTTCTCCTCTCTTGAGCAAAGAGAGAAGGAGACATTAATGAATTTTTTAAAATTGAAAATAATCTCTTAATAAAACTACCAAACACATTTTTAAAAATGATTTCTGTTTTAGATTGAAAACATTTTCATTTTCATTTTCATATAAAAAATAAAATTATTTTAGAACGAGTTTCAAACACCATAATTTTTACTCATCTTCTTCTACTAACAATTACAAAAGTAAAAGTTTTGGCAAACGAACCCTCAGTTCGGGGTATTTTCTTACGGCCCTTGGACCAAGCATTTTGAGCCTCGGTGTCAAAGTTAAGGATATTTTCTTACGGCCCTTGGATCAACCAATATGTTAAAAGGGAAATAGTAGGAAATATGCCAATATGAAAAGCTTAAGATAGTATATAGGCCAACTTTTAATTATAGAAATTAATAGGTCATAACTTATCAAGTTATGGTTCATAACTAGATAAGTTATGGACAAACTTGTCAAGTTATGGTTCATAGCCAGACAAGTTATGGACAAAAATCGAGAATAACTTGTCAAGTTATGGTTCATAACCAGACAAGTTATGGACGAAAACAGTAATTTGACCTATTTATTAACTTATGTAAACTATTGATCTATTAATTTTAATTCATTTCAAGTCTTGGTCTATTTTTCTCTTTCTCTTATGTTAAAATAGAGCTAGGTCACCTAGTGGGATCCACTCATGTTATCATTTGTTTCTTCCAAGGCTTTCAGCATGTTGGGCCTAAAACCAATTTTAAGAGTAATTTATTTTGCTTTTGAAATACAAATTTTAACAATTTCTGTAAGTTTAGTCAAATCTTCACTATTTCTTGAATTTTTGAAAGTGGCACTCTATGATCTTACAATCTTGGAAAATCTGCTGTGACATTATACTAAAGATAAAATAAAGGGAGAAACGCATGTAATTTGAACAAATGGGCTTACTCATATTTCTCCTTTTTTTAAAAGAAAAAAAAATGTACAAATGGGGTGATTAGGAGAGGGAAGAAAAAACGATGGCCTAAAACTCAAATCCTAAGAACAATAAGAAACAAGCTAAAGCTTTAATTGTTTGTGCTATCCTTTTTAAAAAAAAAAAAAAAATAATCAATCAAATTAGATCATTAACGAGAAGGGGATCCAATTACCTTGTTCCGATCCAGAATAATAAGCTAATAAGTGTTACTTAATCGTTGAGAAACGAAATTTCTATCAAATATCATTTATTTTTTATACTGGGCCCGTTCCGTTCACTAATTCGAGTTGAGATGTGATGTTGTGTGAGAGCTTTTTACTGTAGCAAAAAAGTTAGATGTGAGTGTTTCTGGGAGCTTTTTACTGTAACAAAACTCGAATTCTAAATTTAAATCAGCGAAAAAAACGGGACCGAGTCTATTCTCTCATTTTTATTTGTGATTCAGTACAATGGTTGATCCGGTTGAACATTCTCTTATTAGGCCCGAGATCTAAGGATTCAGATTGCAATTTTCGGAATTGACATAAACTTTGGGTAATGCTTTGAAGTAGTGATTGGTGAAGTTTATAAGATAATTGGATCCAGAGCCCACTTGATAATGATAAAGTCGGTGCAAATGATCATGGGGCAACTTATTTCACTAACAGAGCGATGCGTCGGTTGAATGGACTAAACCTCATTTGATAAGTGCAAAAAAAACTTAGTAAGATAAATTTATTGAACTTACTCTTAGAATTTATGAATATATATTTTAGTCCATTATTCTTGATTGATACTCTTTATACTAATGTAATCAGTGGCGGATTTAAGTATAGCTCACTGGAGACTACCGCTCCTATTTAAATTTTTTTGAAAAAAATATTATCTTTAAAAATTTTACACTTAAATCCATACTAAAATAATATATACCCCCACTAAAATAAATAGATTTTCTTATATGTTCCCACTAAGATTAATATATTTTCTTATATGCCTCACACTAATTCACTTTACTCTTTTGGTTTTTGACTTTTTAATGTACACCCCTACTGAAGTGAAAGGCTGGCTCCGCCACTGAATATAATATTTGACTAAAAAAAATATTAATCAAGAAAGAAGGTTAAAATCTAGACTCCCGCATTTTGAAAGGGTGTTCGTCTCTTTTTCTAAAAAGCCATGCGGCAACAAGATCTAAGTCCAACATTACAAACAAATTTAGGAAACCTCAAAAAAGTATCCTGTTAAGGTGCAAAAGAAGCAAAGTAAATAAGGCACTAAAACCACATGCACAGTAACGGTAACTTTTGTGTTTCATAAAGCCCTATTTCATTTTTTTTTTTTTGGTTTCTTTTGTCCGGAATGGAATAAACTTCAATACTCTTTGTTATTTTTCATAATAGGATGTTACAATTAAATTTATATGTCTTCATAGTACATATTAGTTCAGTTGTCTTCGATCTAATGATCCGAGAACAAACACAGTTATAACTAAGTTGAACTAAGATTATGGGAACAAAATGAGGCCTAATATTTTCTTTTGTTGAATCCAACTATCATAACATTGTAATTCCATTACTAAAAATGATAATTAGTAATTTTCTAAATTATAACGACACCATTTAGAGGAGGAGGTGATAGAAGTCCATAAAAGTTAAACCTTACAACCAGAAATCATTAACGCGTTAGTTGCAACTTACAAAATTTCCCTTCCCTTTCAAAGACATAATACCAAAAAGGGGCCTCTCAGAATCGAAAGCTAAACAAACAATTGGTCCCATTCCAAATCATTCTAGGCACTAAAACAACATCAAATTCCCATACACAGAAAGAGTTCCAAAAATCCAAAAAAAAAAAAAAAAAAAAAAAAAAAAAAAAAAGAAGCTGTTTTCTAAAGCAAAAAACACAACACCCATCATTCTTCTTTCCCCACCCCATATTTATTTTTCCTCCCTCCCCAAGCAAAAAAAAAAACTCCCAATCTTGATTGATATCACTCACCACCTAAATATTACTCCCTTTTACCTAACTTCACAACCCAACTGAAAAAAATTACATAAATACACCCCCACTTTAACACTCTTCCCAAATAACCAAAACCCAAAAGCAACCAATGGAACAAAGAAGAGCACAAACCAAAAAACAGAGTCCTCTGTTTCCTCTGTTTTCATTCACTTTCTTCTTCTTCTTCCTTCTATCACCCACTTCCGGCCAAAGCCCGGCGGCTTCTCCTGTGGGTGCGGCGGCGTCTAGCCCGGAGGACGTGATAGCGGTGCTGAAGAAGGCGGGGCAGTTCACGACGTTCATAAAGCTAATGAAGGGGACGCAGGTGTCGGACCAGATAAACTCGCATCTGAGCGGCGGCGGGTCGCAGGGGATAACGGTGTTCGCGCCGACGGACGGGGCGTTCTCGGGGCTGAAGACGGGGACGCTGAACTCTCTGTCGAGCGAGCAGCAGATCCGGCTGGTGCAGTACCACGTGCTGCCGGCGTACTACACGCTGTCACAGTTCCAGACTGTGAGTAATCCGCTCCACACGCAGGCTGGCAACAGCGACAATGGCCAGTACCCTCTCAATGTCACTACCTCCACCAGCAACCAGGTACGGACTACGCTCGCTGTCGTTTTTTTTTTTTTTTTGTGTATGGATATTGGATGGTGTTTGTTGTTTCATGGGGTTGGAAACATGGTGTCAATGTCATTTCCCTCCAAAAAACGACATGTCGTATTCAAAATCGAAAACTAATTGTTGCTTATTCCAGGTTGACCAATTTTGCTTATATTTCTGGCATTGCAGGTGAACATCACGACCGGTGTGGTGAACGCCACCGTGAGTAACACCGTGTACACCGACGGGCAACTGGCGGTATTCCAGGTTGACAAGGTGTTGCTCCCCATCGACATTTTCGGGAAGGCCAAGGCCACGGCTCCGGCACCGGCGCCGCTCTCTGCCAAACCGGTGAAAGGCGTTGACGACAGCGACTCCGATGATGCTCCGGCCACCTCCAAGGTTCCCACGGATACGGATGATTCCGGTGCGTTTGGCCTTCCCGCCGTAGATTATAATAAGGCGGTTCTTCTAAGTGTGTCCTTTGTCGCACTTCTCGCGGCGTTTTGAACATTTTTTTGGTGCCTTTAGTTTGTTTCGGTCTTCTTGGTGTGTGGAATTTGGCAACGCGGATTTTGTCATGTGTTACTTTTTGTTTTTTTTTTTCCGTTTTCAGTTGTACCTTGATTAAAAAGAACAAATCATTATTCTTTTTCGTATAAAATAATTCTCGATTTATCTTGCTCTCTCTTTTGATTATTCTTTACGGTCGGCTCTCTCGGTTTGTGGACGTTTCGATTTGTTGGAAGAGAGGGAAAGTGTTGATCGTCTATTGCAAATGTTGTAAAGAGAACGAATCACATGTACAATTACAATTACGTTAAATAAAAGGTACATAGTAATGACATAAGCAATAACAATTACGTTAAATAAAAGGTACATAGTAATGACATAAGCTAATCGACGTGATCCCAAAGAAGACATATATAAAGGGAAGACGACACAAAAAATTGAAAGATGTTATCCTCTTAGATAAGTGAACGACATCATTTACAAAATTGCAATATTGAGAGAGAGAGAGAGAGAGAGAGGTGAACGACATCACTTGCAATATTCCAAATTTTCAGTCTTGAGAGACAGAGTATCAAGGAAACGACAATATGTTTAAAACCCGACAACAATGGACAATATAGAAGACAAACGACAAGAGTTTAGAGGAATGCCACCCTCTTAAGACCCTATTTCACGAAAGAGAAAAACGACATCAGATAGATGGTAAATCAAGAAAACGACAATTTGGAGATGAAACGACAATGATAAAATAAAACGACCTAATTCAGATGAATGACAATATAAAACAACGACAACATTTTAAAAAGACAATTTAAAAGGCAAACGACAAGATTTTAACGTAATGATACCCCCTCAATAACCCTAGTTTACGAAAAGCAAAACTATTACATCAATAGACAGTTTACGTCAAAAAAACGACAACTATAAGACGAAAGACAATAACACTAAAAACGACATCATTTTAACAAAGGACGATTTGTGATCCAAACAAATGCCATTTCCGAAATTCAGCTTTTAAGAGATGAACAACAAACCTTATAGCAACTCTATATTTTAAAAAACAAAAAAAACAAAAACATAATTTATCACAAAATCTATCACACAAAAACAACGCCTACAGCCTCTGCGAGTTTCGAAACTACATGTAAAAAAAAAAAAAAAAAAAAAAAAAAAAAAAAAAAAAAAGGAAAAGAAAAAAAAAAAGAAAAGAAAAGGTAAGACAATACTGAAACAGAGTCGATTTGATAGTGTAATCAACCTCATAATTCCATTTAAAAAAAAAAATAAAAAATAAAAAATCCCTCACAAATTAGATTTTTCAACATGTTCTTCCTCTGTGCAAAAGATTCTATCCCCTCGTACTTTGCCGGTCCATGAGAATACATATATAGTGAGAGATGTCATACATTAAGCGTACCAAAATAACTGAAGCAATAAAATTTTCATTTTCTCAACTAACTTCTTTCGATGAACCGACTAAACCTATGGCCAAAACCTGTCAGCAATCAGTCACATTGAGGGTGTTTGGGGTTCCTCAACGACTGAACTCTTTATTCTCTTTGTGAAGTCAAAAATGGAATTCAAACCCACCACCACCACCACCAGGAAAGCCACCATCAAATGTGAAATGAAATTGCTGTCCTCCGCCGCCAAAAGGGTTAAAGCCGCCGCCACCGCCGCCCATGCCCATATCTTCAAGGTCTTCCCCTCTATCATATCTTGTTCGTTTTTCTTCGTCCCCAAGAACCTGTGAAGGATAAAAAAGTGTTGAGATGTGTCATCTCTCAATGGATTGAAGAACCTATTAAAAATGATGTTTCAAAGAAATTTGTGGGGGTGATAAGACCTCATATGCGGCAGCAATTTCCCTGAACTTATTCTCTGCCTCTTCTCTATTGTCGACATTTTTATCCGGATGCCACTGCAGAGCAAGCTTCTTATAGGCACGCTTGATCTCAGAAACAGATGCAGTCTTCGAAACTCCCAAAATCTTGTACCAGTCTTTGCGTTTGCTCATCTTTAAGGCTTTCTCGGCTCTCATTAAACCTTCCCGAATATTCATATCCTGCAAGACCGGCAAAGAATTTATCCTAATGTCAGGAGCTAAAAATGCTAAGCTATGTAATAAAAAGGCAGCCTCCCACAATGCTGGAAGGTCAAGTTCAATGAAAAAAGAAATATTACTGCAGCTAACCTGAGGTGATTTCTGAGCTGCCGATTTCAGATCTTCAACAGCTCCTTCCCAATCCTCTGTCAGGAGCTTAGCTTCACCCCTCTGCAAAACACATTTAGGAGTTGAAAAATGGAGCAACAATATTGGATTTACAAAGACAACCATGCATGTTTCATGCGTGGAAAACTCTTAATAATTGGTTGAAACAAACTATCCAAGAGTAGAACAGTTAACCTGAACCAAAGCATCAAGAAGCTCCCCATCAATATCAAGTGCATCATTGCAACTGATTATAGCATCCGTTCCTCTCCCAAGCTTGACCAAGAGCTTACACAAACCCAGATGGAGATGAACATTATATGCAAGATGATTAGGGTCCATGGCAAGAGCAGCTCGATAATCTTCCACTGCAACTCGCAGCTTGCCCTTATTTACATTATCTTCTGCCTGCATAATGCCAAGTATTCAAAAAGAAAATGGGTAACATGAAAATTTAGGCTATAAAGAAGGTCGACTGATGAAAATAGTTGGCAGCAGCAAGCTTTTCATATAACCTTCTTTGGGTGAAACAGAGAAGAGAACTCAACTCAAGCTAATATCTTTGGGACTTACACTTTTAGTCTTCTTAAGTAAATTTTTCAGTCCAAAATATGCTTTCTTCAACTCACTGTGCTCTGGATCAAGGCGGAGACCTTTCTGGTAATGCCTAAAGAAGAAAAGATTGTCTTATCATTTCAAGACAAACCCTCATAACTATTCTACCCAAAATTAGATTTTATCTACCAGCAATCTAGCACTTCACAGAAGCTGCTGTTAGACAAACCTTGTAGCAACATCATGATCTGCCAAATAGTAGTAGGCACGGCCACGGAGTAATAATGCTTCCAGATTATCTTCATCTTCCTTGAGAATGTATCCACTCTCAGAGATGGCGCCAGAATAGTCTTTTGTTGCTATTAACAATCTCACTTTGAGGAGTTTTGCCTGCAACAAATAACGCCCATGAAGTTAATAGTATGGAACTCAACTTTGTTGTACCCTAGCCTCAATGCCAACTCCTTAGGGTCATCTAGTTAGGTAATATACTCAATACGAGTAACGACAAACAATACCAAACAAATGGAAAAATTCACAAAAAGAGAAATCAAATATATTTACCTTTGAGCAGGCTGGAGAGAAAACAAGGACAACTTTGCTAATGTATTCCAAAGATTTTGTAAAATCGCCCGATTCAAAGAGAGTTAAAGCTGTATCAAGTGCACTCTGCGCCTGATGCAATTGAGCAAGCTCCTTTTCTGCTGCTGAGTCTCGAGGTTTCAGCTCCAGAAACTTTTCGTAGCTTCTCTCTGATTCCTTGTATCTACATCAGCCAAAAACCGCCTGAATCATATAATTTTTACAATCAGAAATTGGAGAGAGAGAGAGAGATGGCAATCCCCACTTATTTAAAACCCCAAAATCAAGAGATTTCTTATAGGCCTGTTTGGTTCATGAGTTCAAGTCAATGATTTTGGTTCTGAATTCAAAAAAAAATTGTGAAAGAAACTATTAGCGGGAACTTTTTTAATTCAAATTTATTGTGAGAGACAACACTGTAACAGAATTAGAACATGTGTTTTTATAAGCATATTCTCCCTCCGTAAAAAAAAAAATGTCTAAACTTAGAAATAAGAAGGTAAGCACGGGGTTACATAACGAATTTTCATTGTTTAGCAATAGCAGTCACTAAATTGAGTGGTTAAGATACTCTCCTTGCACAGAAGTGAAACAAATGGTTCTAATCCTTTTGCAAATAACATTTACTGAAGTTAAAAATTCTAACTAAATGAGTCATAGTACCAAAAAACGGACCTGCACAACTGACGAAGAACTGATGCACGATGAAAATAGGCTTCTGAAAGAGATGGGTCTGCCTCAATAGCAGCATTAAGATCATCAAGTGCCTCACTATATCGCTTCACCTTCACACTTTGTGATACCCTCTCAAACAATTCCGCAGCATTTCCAGATTTGCTGCCTAATAACACCAATATTGTTAACATCAATAATTTATAAGTCATATCCAAAGAATTCTGCATATTCAAATCTGATGAAGATAAAGGGAGAATTACAAAAATGAAAAAACAAAAATCTCATTTTCCAACTTTTTATAACCTTCAAAAAAGTAAAATCCTTAATAGCTCAATTTTTTATCCTTGACTGTTCCTTGAATAGTTATTTGCTACAATTTTACACCTTTTTGATAAAGTTCCCTTAAGTTTATGACCAAACACTATTACAGCCTAAAATTCTTTTCTTTACAGCAAAAAATAAGTAACAAAAATAATATGTCCACTTCTGAATTCATTGCAAACCAAAAAATTGGAAAAATGATTGAATCCTCAAAAGAAACTAAAAATCACTTCTCTTTAGCAAAATAATTCCCAATTTTCTCAGCCAAAATCCACAACAGTAACAAAAAACCACTCATTTTCAGCAAGATAATTTCCAATTTACAATTTTCTAAAGGCTAAAAACACAAATCAAATCAAATCAACAAACACCTAATTAATTCCATTACAACCAATCAGAACAGGGAAAAAAAAATCAAGAAAGCAGTAGAACCAGATCGAAGCTCGCATATTCGAAATTCCAAATCAACACAAACAGAAAAAATTCCAAAAAAAATAATCAAACGAAGAAAAGAATGGGAAACAAACCTAAAGCGGATACGAGAGGTTGAAGAAGAACGAATTGACAGACCAAGACGAAATTGAGAAGGAATCCAGTGTAAACCAACCCTCTCCAAGCCACGGCCTCCATTGGAGTCTTCAGCATTCTTCCTCAAAAACGATTCAGCTCGTATACGTATTTCATGCGTATAAATACGTATTGTGTACCGTTTGTTTCGTGTGCTCCACAGAGAGAAGAAAAGTGAGAAGGTTGAAAAGAAGAAGAAGAAGAAGTAGAAGTGGGGGGATTCGCATGTCACTCCACGTTAGTTTGGCCTATAGGTGACTTACACGTGGATTTGGGCCTTTCCAGGTTTTGTTGCCACCTGGCAATGATTGGTCCATTCAGTTGACGCCACGTCATAGCAAAGACAACCTTTTTTCTATGATGTCGGAAAACGGGCCTTTAAGATTTTGGATTGGGCTTAAATTGGGTTCTAATAGGCCTACTACAGAGTGGGGTTTGATTCGGTTTACCCTTTTATTTGATTAAATAGTTATTAATAAAGGGAGAAAGAGGGAAATAAGTCAAGATTTGAGATGAATTAAAATTAATAGGTTAATAATTTATATAAGTTAATAAATATGCCAAATTACTATTTTCATCTATAATTTGTCTGATTATGAACCATAACTTGATAAGTTATTGTCCATAACTTGTCTGGTTATGAACTATAACTTGACAAGTTTGTTCATAATTTATCTGGTTATAAATCATAACTTGACAAGTTATGACCTATTAATTTTTATAACTAAAAATTGACCTATATACTTTCATAAGCTTTTCATATTGACATATTTTATACTATTTCCCATTAATAAATAGTAAGGGGTAGAAATCCTAATAAATGCACGTTTAATGAGTATTTGTCTCTTTTTCTCTTTTGATTGTAAACCCAATCATAGGGCTCTTTAGACGTATAGTAAAATTTCAATAATAAATTTTAAATATAGCAAAATTTTTAAAAAATTACAAAAATAGTAAAAATTTTAATCATTTATTTTTTAAGAATGATATCATTAAATTATGATTTTATCATTATATAATATAAAACGTGACATAATGATTATGTCATTTTTGTTATATTTATAATATTTTAAAAATTTTGCTAAATTTCAACTTAAGCTATGAAATTTTGCCATGTAATATAATTATCTTCCCAAGTATATGGATTGGTATAAATTCTGCCTAGTACTGCTTATGAAGCTCATAGTCATAGTTAATGGACAATTACACAAATGATCACTTTTAACTCCACCTTTAGAATATTAGTTAAATTTAGTAATATTTTCAATAGGTTTATTTTATGATTCATAAGATAATATCATTCTGGATATATCTTCTTTTACGTTGATGGTTATGAATTTGTGTGATTGATTTTTATTTAATGAATTTGTATAATTAATTTTAAGGGTGGCTAACAAAGAGTAGGAATGTCATTATGGGTTGTATTACAGATTTAGGTGCAAATACGACAACTTGTGAATATGCTTCTTCTTCTTCTTCTTCTTTCTTTTTATTCATCTCTTACATAACGAATATATATGTGTAAATGTAATTAAAGAGGTAAGCGAAAATTGGAGAATCCACCCTTCTTATTTCGTCTTTTTAATTATATATCCGTAAGAGTAAAATTTTAGGATTCATTTGGTAAAAAGTTTAAATCAGAGTGGATTTAAACTTTGGGTTTGAATCAATGGTTTTGAACTGTGGAGTTTGAACTTGAGTTCAACTTTTGATAACTGAGAATTTGGGTTTAGAAATCCTTTTAATTTGAGGATTTAAATGTCATATTAAGGGGTTCAAACCCCTTTTTACTTTTTAAAACAAATACTGATGTGAACTTGAATTTAGGTTCAAAACCCTTATAGTGCTTTGAAAGGAAATATATAGTCTTTTTTTACGTTAATAAGTGGATAACGAGATATATATATATATATATATATATATATTCAAAAATGTATTAATCAAGAATAAAATAAATAAATTCAAACTCAATAAGTTCAAATAATTTTCTCTATATCTTTGTCCTGCCTTACTAAATGGGGTATTTCTTTAGATTTTCCTTTAGATCTGTGCCATTTTTTCATTGTGTGGTTTGAAAAACTCATTTTCATATAAAAGACGATTTTATCGTTTGATTGTGATTAATTTAATAAAAGAATTCCTAAACTATGTACCGAAGCATATTTTCTTTCTCTCATTTAGTGAGCGCTTCATACCACTCAAATCATACAATATGCAAAGTAGGCAAACCATTTTGGTCTAACCCTGCATAACATCAAGAAAAAATATTATTTTTTTATCCTACCATCAAGAAAAAGTACCGAAGCAAAAGTAGCTAATTATATAGAAAACAAAACGGTCAATGATAGAGAGATAAGAATAGTTATTAAGTTAAATAAAAGAGATTATTTCAAACTTCAAAGTAACCCATAGGGCTTGACCCAGGTCTCAAAAAGCTGGTTGTGACAAGTACCAATAAAAAGGTTAAACTCGTTACACGATAAAGTTAATAGTAGTAGTAGTAGAATATATATATATATATATATGTATATGTATATATGTATATATATATATATATATATATATATTTGCTTTATAATCTCTCTCGAAGATGGTCTATCTTTTTATGGATTTCATAGACTTGGACCCAGTAGTTTTCTTCGTTCCAAAGACCTGTCTGTGTGACCATTCGTGGTGTTAAAGTTTCCATGCTTCTCATCAAACACTACCACAATATTTCACCTCCCCAAAACTAGGGTTCTTCAAATCTTAACATTAAAAAAATTGCCATTTTGAAAGTCAAAGCTATTTTGTGCACAGTGCCCAGCAACGGTTTTTATAGAGACAAACAGTGCCCTATGACGGGAAGCAACTTTTAACCCAAAATAAGGCTTGCCCTAGAAGTTGTCTTAGTGAAAGATTTTTTTTTTTTTTTTTTTTTTTTTTTTTTTTTTTTTTTTTCTGTTTTTTCTTCTTCACTATTAATTAGGAAACGAAAGTTGTATTAGGGGGACATACTTAATAATTTAAAGCCTATATATTAACGGCTAATGTCATATATATATATATATATATATGTGTGTGTGTGTGTGTGTGTGTAAATGTATATATATGCAGCTTTCAATGCTCTCCATTTGTGTACCAAAACATTCTCTTAATTGGTTTCCGAGGTTATTATTCTCTTAACTTTTGATTATTTATCTGTAAAGATATAAGGAAAACATGTAAATATAAAAGTAGAGTACTATATAGTCGTGGCCCCAATTTTATGGGGTATCCAAAGAAAATGTTTATCAAGAAAGAGGTCAGTTTATTTATATACATATACGTCGCTTTGGTATAGTTTACTTATATATATACATATACGTCACTTTAGTATTGTACTTTTTACACACGTGTCTATATATACATATATATATATATATATATATCTTACTTCTTGATAACCCGTGACTGCAGGAATCCCTTGCGGATATAAAACTATTGATCAATCTAGAATTAACCCTACTCTTGTAATGATAATTTTACAGCTCATAGGTGAGAAGTTTTCAAATTGCTTGCTGATATATATAAACGTGTTTATTATTTGGATCTATAAATACCTTCGAATTATATATTTTCTTTTCAAAATGGAGAGAAGTGGGTACGGAAAGGGTATTTAAGCTGTTTTCTATATTTTTAAAGAGTTTTTTTTAAATGATTTTGAAAAATAAGGTGACATTTTAAAATAAAGTACATACGTTTAGAGTTATTATTTATGAAGATAACCCATAAAAGTTTAGTAATTAGGTAAAGCATCGCACATTTATATAACATATTAAAAATGTATATAGAAAAACAGATGAGGGAGAGTAAAAGGAAGAGAGAATAAAAATGAAAAACACATTGGACGACAAATGTTGATATTATTACTCAATATGCAGTTCAGTTACATGCTTATATATAGTGTTCTTTGCGTGATTTTACAATTATACATAACCATCATGAGCAGTTGAAGAGAAAAACGTACTAGACAGCTGTTTTTTGACTTTAGCTTTCACATTAGGCCGTGATCAAACGTAGCAAAATTAACTTGGTCTTCATTATTATTTTTAGAGGTCTTAATTACGGTCTAAGCTAGCCCCTAGATTCTGCCTAGACTAACATAAAGAAAGTACGTAGCACTTGATTGTAACCAAAAAATGCCAAGGAGCCAAGACGTGTAAAACCAAACCTCTTCTCTTCGGTCTCATTTATGCGTGACTAGAAAAGTACCGGCGGTGAAAATGTGAAATAGTTTATATATATGAAAGGATTTAAAACTCATTAGGTTAATTGTTGGGGTTAAATTGGACTCTTAAAATATATTAGGTCAGTTTCACATGTGGTGTCTCTCTAACAAATGGTATCAGAACTGATGGTTCATTCAACTCAAGCGATCACACTCGGTTACAGTTACAGATACATATGGTGAAGCATTTGGTAGACTCGCATGGTTTCGGCTCTCTTTCTCATGCTCAAATTGGCTCCTGTTTTGAGTGTGATGCTTGGATGTGTCGGCTACTTGAAACTTTGATTCAGGGGGAACTCGGTGACCACACACATGAGGGAGAGATTGTTGAGAAAAGTGTATGTGTGTTGTCCCACATGGAAAGTAAGTGGAGATGTGAAATGATTTATATACATGTAAGGATTCAAGACCTAATAAATTAACATTATAGGTTAAATTAGGCTCCTAAAGTGTTTTAAGTCAATTTCGCATGTGGTGTCTTTTCAACATAAATAATATCTTAAACCAAAATCAAAGTACCAAAAACAAAATCAACTGTGCTGATATTCATTCTTAGCTTAGCCAACTAAAAGATTAGTAGTTCTAATAATATAATTTCTAAACCCACCAAATTTGACTAATAATTTCTAAACCCACCAAATTTGACTATTTTATTATAATTAGGGAAATTTTTTAGTATGTCTAGCCTACCAGTGAGTTAAGTCTTTTAACCGTTAAATCTATGCACTTTTTAATTTTTACGTGATTTTATACCGTTTTAATAGATAAAAAAACTTAATATATTAGTATGTTGGCATACTTATATAGCACAAAAATTGGTACTTCATTTGATGGATGGTCAACAACATTATGTATATATATATATGTGAATATATATATATAGTTTTTTTTTGGAAAAAGAGGTAAATTAAGAGTCTGTTTAGTTCGTTGCTTTGAGTTGAAATCTGACTTTATGTGAATTTTTTATTATAGTAAAAAAGTTAAGGGCCCGTTTAGTTCACTGATTCAAATTTTTAATTCGAGTTGAGATGTGATTTTATGTGAGAGTTTTTTATTGTAGTATAAAAGTTATATGTGACTATTTTTTAAATTTTTTTACTGTAGTAAAATTTCAATCGGTGAAATAAACAGAATCTAAATGTGTTTATTTATAAGAATATTTTATTATAATAAAAATTAAATTTTAAATTTAAATCGGTGAAATAAACGAAATCTTAAGCAAAAAGAGAAGGGAAAAAGAACATAAGCGATATTCGAGTTAAGACAAACGATTAAAAACAACATGAAGAAACAAAAACCTACAAAGGTGAACATGCATTTATGTGACTCGGAGTTCGCTCTTCGTTTTGTCACTTCATACACATGCAAATGTGTGGGCCCCACAAGAACAGCCTTTCCACAGCTTAATCTTCCCATGATCATCACACCAACTTTTCTGATCATCAATCTCTCACCCTTTTTTTTCTTTTTTTCTCTCAGTACTGATCAGCCGATCATCTCCACTACCGAGTTTGAACCTTCATAACACAGTCCAACTCAGTCCCAATTCATGACATATAATATGAGGCTTACTTTCCCAACTTTGTTCTCAGTACTATATATATATATATATATACACACACATACATATAGTTGTAACCAAGTATATATACATATAGATATAGTACAAACTACAAAACACGTCACTATATGGGCTCACTAGTGGTTATTAGAGAATTATCTCAACCCCATTGCAAATCAGATCCAATAGTGCCAAACTTTCCCAGATCATGTACCGGCAAGAACTGCCTCTGGGAGTTATGATCTCCACTTCCCGAGCCCAGAAAATCTCTGGTGAGACCATTTTCTACGCCATTAGATGAGCTATGATGAAGCTTCAACACCTGAACTGTTTGATTATCACCACTAACTTTACCACTAGTACTACTGCTACAACTTTTCTGCATTACAAGCTGGCTAAGACCATTTGATGCTGAACTATTTGAACCTTCCAAAACCAATCCATTTTGGTTAAGAGAATTGAAGCTCATTGTAGTGGTAGTGGAAGAGATAGTATTAGACATTGATGAGCTGATCATAAGTCCTGATGAGGAGTTTCCAAAGAAGGAATTAGAGCTAATATTGTTGTTGTTGTTATTTGATGATCTTGTGGACCCCATTTGGGCTGCTTTCTGCAGAAGTGCAGTGGCTGACATTGGAACCACAGGCTGCTTTGGTTCTTCCTTTAATGATGATGATGATCCTAGTTGATGAAGTGGTGACATTAAGGAGAGATTTGGGATTAATGTTGATGATGAAGTTGAATTAGCATGATTGATCTTTTGATCATTAAACCCTAAGAAATGAGAAGCATTATTATTCTTATTATTACCACTAGTGGAGTTTCCAAAGATAGTGCTTGAAGAAGAAGAAGAAGAAGACATTCCCATTTGCATTATCCGATCATGATGAGACACGAAGAAACTGTTCATGGGGTTGAGCTGATGATGATGAGAATTTGCGGCCTGCTGGTTGAGCCAAAGCGACAATCTTGGCTTCGCATTGGTGAAATCTTGCTGCTGGTGAAAATTATCCGGGCCGTACTGGGCCATTCCCGCCACGTTTTGGGCCGGTCCACGGCCCGGATATCCGGTATGCAGATCCGGTTGTTGATGAGGATGATTGACGATATTGTTGGTGTTGGTGTTCATCATTTCATTTCCAAAGCTCAGATTGGTAGCCACTGATGTAGTAAATCTAGCACTCTCTTCAGCTAGGGCATCACAAAAAGCTCTGTGGGTGATGAAGCTATCTTTCCTGATATTATTATTAACAATTATTCAATACGTAGTTAAAAATTAACCCCATTTTATTAATTATAATTTAGTCTAACAAAACTATACATCTGAAAGACACGAATGGACGCGTCTTTAAGATAATTAATTATATTATAATAAAAAAATATGCAAAATTAACAGAATTTAACACCGACTGTAGAAGAACAAAAAATACATGTGTTTAGTTCTAAGATCTAAAATTATGATTCAAAATTTTTCTTAATTTATATATATTTTTTTATAAAAAAAATACATTATAATTTAAATCGTAACACGAATCTTAATAGCAACACTAATCAGTAATATTTAGCGGTATACCTGGAGAAGAGGGTTCCACAATCACACTTGTACTCTCTAGTCCCACAAGTCTTGGAATGAGCTTTCCAGTCGGATTGTACCGCGTACTTCTTCGAGCACTTATCACACTTCCACTTCTTCTCGCCGTGCTTCCGACTGAAGTGCTTCTTTATGCCGGTGAGGTCGCCGAGGGCCCGCGACGGGTCGTGGTGGACGCAAGTCTTCTCCGGGCATATGTAGACCTTCTTCTTGACTAGATCCTTGTTACTCCTTTGCCGGAGCTTCCACGGAAGATTGTGTCCTCGCCGGTGAAGCTGCAAATTCTGGTCCCTTTGGAACCCTTTGTTGCATATTTCGCAGACGAATCGGTTCGTCGCCATCAGAGACTTCGGAGACAAAGCAATAACCTCAGCATCTGGATCTGTTTATAAAAAAAAAATAATCATAATAATAAAGATCATATATGTATAAACTCATAATTGAAAAATAAATCCCCATTATTTGAGATTAACAAAAGAGAAAAAGAAAAAAGAAAAAAAGTTGATGAAGATGGGATAAACTTGCCTGGCGTTCCTGGGAGATTTCTCTTCTTCTTGGCTGCAGCAGGATTTGGAATATTGTTAGTGGGTTTAGAGGTTGTAGAACTAGTGTTGATATTGATATTATTATTGACGTTTGGTTCTTGATGATGATGACCAAACCATCCAATAGAATTAGAAGGTAAACTAGAAAACCCTTCATGACCGGCCATATTAGTATTACTCAAACGCATCTGATGAATATATATATATATATGTGATCAGATTTGATTGATCAAAAGCCGTTTAATTTTCTGCCTTGTAATTTAGTTTACAGACACAAAACGGCTTTCATCAAAAAGGCCAAGCTATATATACAGATAATACATACATATATATGTGTATATATATACCAGACCGTACAAGCGAAAGAAAACAAGGGTTATATGTAAGGCTACTACTAGTCTACTACACTCTCCCCAAACTCTGCAAAAACGACAGAAAAAGATGTGTATGTATATGCATATATATATAGATAGATATATGTATATACCCAAAAACAAACTAAAGGGTTGAATCTAAGAGAAAAGGAAGCTAATTCGGACTCTTCTTGAGGAGAAGATCTGGTTGGAGAAGTTTTGCCTTATAGCTTGTTTTTTTGGATTTCAAAAGGAAAAGACCAAACGAAACCGAAGATAGCCAAAACAAGAGAGAATATTTCCTCTTTAACTCTCTCTCCTCTCTCTCTCTCGCTCGCAGTCTTATATTGTGTTTTTTTTTTTTCCTTCTCTCTTTCTCTCTTTGTTTCTTTTTTTTTTTTTTTTTTTTTTTTCTTTTTTCCTTTTATGTTTTACTACTTTACTGCTACTTCTTGTATATATCCTCAACGTTGGTCAGCCATAGATTTTGATGGGCCACCACCTTCTCTCTCCTCTCTCTTTCTCTCTCATCTAGACTACACAAATAACGCATCCATGGTTTTTATGAATAAATAATGCACATATAAATAGCTTTTAAAAAATCGCTTAGTGAGAGCTAGCTATATAGCTTTTCTTCTAACTCTCTGTAAATTTTGTTGTAGCTTTTTATAACACTTTCTTTTTCTTTTTTTTTTTTCTTAGGGTTTGTCAGAAGTAGCTTTTCAAGCTCAAACTCCAATTATGTCTAAAAGAAACTTTTAGATTTAAAAACAAAATAAATTAACTAATAAAGGAGGCACATATATACTACCAAACAATACCAAGATCGATACATGAAACCCTTTATTTAGGATTGATAATCTGGGACGATCGTAGGATTTAAAATTTGTACGTAGCGAGTTTAGATTTATTATAAATTGGTTTGAGTTATAATTAGATTGACATAATTAATATTATTAATAAATGAGTTAGATTAGAATTGATCTCTTAAGACGAAGTGATACGAATTGACACGATTAATTATATGTGTTATCTGCAATTTAATGATATGTGATATAATATGAACGTTCATATGACATATTAAATACAAATAATGTGAATTTAAATATTTATAAGTAAAATTCATTTTTTTTAAAGAAAAAGATAAATTGACTAATAAACATGTTAAACTAGTATTGATCATGTTAAATAAGTCATTATTATATTAGTTATTTATTCACTATATTAATTTAAACGAGTTATACGAGTTGACACGATTAACACGATTAATAAATAGTCGGGTTTAAATTAACATTTTAGACACATTTAGTAAACATATCATGTTTAAATTAATATTTTTCAATACAATTAATAAATGAGTTAATATAAATACGACCCAGAACCTAGTTGCCACATTTATTTTTATTTACTCATTCAAATAACAATTTAAATTTTTTATTATAATATTTCTTTTTATAAAAAAAAATTTCGTTATAACGTTTTTTTCACGTGAATTTATTTTTTTAATTTAAATGAGTGAAACATTTTAGAAAAGAAAAGTAAAAATGAAAAAGAATATATATATATATATATATATATGTGTGTGTATGATAGAGGGTCGTCTTCAGAAAAGTAGCTGCCTTTATGCCGTTGGATCAGGGATGTTATGATTATGCCATAATTAATGATGGAAATAAAACATAAACTTGGCATGCTAAAGGAAAAACCACAGACAAGTCAGGAGGGTCTTCAGATGAGAGAGAGAGAGAGAGAGAGAGGAGAGAGAGAGAGTTACGTTTCCGAGGCAATCGATAGGACCGTCCGTGAAACTGATACCTCTGGGGGCAGTGACTATACTGTGGGGCTGTTTGGGACAAAGGTGGGACCCATCAAACGACTCTGGTTCTCTGAACTCCCCATCATCCTCCAAAGGAGTATTATGATATGATATGAGTGCATGTGCCTTACCAGCGATTACTTCTCTATTTCAATCATGTCCCTCACAAAACCAACGCTCTTGAGACACGTATGCAACCCGTTTAGTTCGTTAATTTAAATTTTTAATTTAAATTGAGATATAATTTTATATTAAAATTTTTTATTATAATAAAAAAATTAAATATGTTTATTTTTAATAGTTTTTTATTATAATAAAATTCGACAAAATAAACGGCCTTCAACTTCACACACAAACTCATATATATTAGGCGTTTTCCATGTTATTGTTTCAAATTTAATGCATATATAACTATCTTTACATATGGTTTACGGTTTGTGTGTGTATATATGTATATCATAAATTCCTCGCTCAATGTTATAGATAAATAAGAAGGGAGTTTCGTTATTATGACTAGAAAAAAATAAAATATTAATAATTTTTTACTTTCTAGTCGTTATATTTATATAAATATATTTTTTAATTTAATTTAATTTTAATTAAATTTAACAGTTAAAAATTAACAGGCTTATTAGAGAAAATTCCAAATAAGAAACTAATATATATATATATATATTAGCTAATATTGTACCACGCGAAAAGAATAAAACTGCTCAAATAGAAACAAATATGTGATACATAGTAAATAGAAAACAAACAACGTCTGGAGGAAAAAAAAAAAGAGATGGTCTCTGATATGCTGTTTTACTGGTAGGACTAGTTTTTCAACTGTTAGATCTAATCAAAATTAAATGAGATTGAAAGAGTATATAGAATTGACAATTTCTGATACAGATTTGACGGTTGAAAAATGCTGAAAAAAATAAAACTACCGAAAAAACTCTAATAAAAAATCATAAATAGTCTAGCGCTTATCAAGACATAAACGACGTGATTACCAGTTCATTTGACCCAAATAAAAGAGAACGAATGAAAATCTCGAGCCACCACTGAAAACACAAATTCTTAATGAAATTCCCTTCCCAATTAGAGCTATCTTAACAACGCTTCCACGACCACCTTAACATTGCTCTCAAATGATTTAGGTAACGTTTGGTTTATAGATTTAAAATCATGATTTATGATTTTGATTTTTAAAATTTAAATTTTTTGTGAGAAAAAAACATTTTAGAGAACTATGAATAATGATTCTGAATCAGAGACGGATACATGAAAGAAACATCTCCTTAAAGTAAATTATGAATAAATTAGAAGTACTATTATATGCTTTAAATTTGAAGTTGACTAAAATGGTACATCGTTGACCGTACAGGAACTTCTCACGTGAAAGTTGGATAGAGATTGAAGCTTTAGTCTATCAAGCAAGCTGCCATGGCGTTGTAGTAGTACTATAGTGCTATTCTATGATCCCCACGTGATCGCCTAGTTGTTTCAAAAGTTACAAAAGTTCTGTTACATAACGTCAGGATATGTATTTTTCGCTTTAGTACATTTAGATTTTTGTTTATAGAGTACAATATTGTTATTTTTCATCTCAATATGATCTCATACATATGTATTGCATTCGTCAGCTGAAGCAAATTCTAAATGTATTTCCTAATTGACTACTAAAACATCATTAAACACAAATTAATGCCGCCAGTCAGATCTTAACTAATTGATCGAACTTATAACTAATTATACACGTCTGACATTAAAACATAGTAACGTGTGGTTTTAGGAAAATAGTAGGAAATATGTCAATATAAAAAGCTTAAAAAAATATATAGGCAAACTTTTAGTTATAGAAATTAATAGGTCATAACTTGTCAAGTTATGGTTCATAACCATATAAGTTATGGACAAATTTGTTAAGTTATGGTTCATAGCCAGACAAGTTATGGACAAAAATCGGGAATAACTTGTCAAGTTATGGTTCACAACCAGACAAGTTATGGACGAAAACAATAATTTGACCTATTTATTAATTTATGTAAACTATTGGCCTATTAATTTTAATTCATCTCAAGTCTTCGCCTATTTTCCTCTTTCTCCCTTTAGTAAATACTAATACATTCTATTCAATGTGTCATCTGATAACAAAAGTTAAAAGGGGATCAAGCATGAAAATCTTAATTAATATATATATATATATATATATACACTATGATTTCCTAAATGTTCTTCACATTGCTGCTTAATTTATTTATTTTCTCTAATAATAAATTACACGATCAGATAGCCCTTTCTTACCAACTTAATTAACACTCTTAATGTAAGCGGTACATAATTTTAAGGCGCGATAATTGTAATTAACAAATCGACGGTCTACAGACCTAACATACATGCTCGATTGACTGAATTAGATTTGAAATTTTCAAAGCTGTCCCCACAAGATATATGGAAGAATATATCATCCAATTTGATCTTGATCATATCCCCTGATCATAATCATATTAGAACAACGCAATCGTATATGGGTATATGTACATGCTGATGTACACGCGCATTTGACTGTGCCCTAATCCCTAAATTAACAAACTAATTAGGACTCGTTAATACAAAAACGTCGTTATCTGAGCTGACTTTGAGCAGACCCACGGTTTCATCGAGCTTGTACAATAATTCAATTAGAGCTAATTAAAATAATTTATATACCCCCAAGAAACTAATTGAGAAAAATAATGAACAGAATAAAAATATTAAGTGGTTTTGGATCCATGCATTCGGAACTTCATTCCAAACATTTGATGCTTCCTCATCCACATCCGGTATCCAATGCTTACACACATGCATATATATATATATATATATATATACACACACACATTATTTATATAAGTATACATAATATAAAACACCCATGTGTTAGTTCCACAGATCGAAACCCTAATTCCCAGGTGGGGGAAAGAGAATTGTTTTTCCTTATATTCATTGGTCAGATTATGAAGGTATAGAATGAGTACTAATATATATACAGTTACATATATATATATATATATATATCATATGTTTATGAACATATATGTCCGACCATGTAACGACACAATATACATTGCATAGATTCCCCATCTGCCCTCCCAAGGCACGTAGAAGACGCCCTTTTTTTATTTTCTTTCTTTATATTTTATTCATTTTAGGTTCTTCCTTTCTTCTTTTTTTCCTTAGTTTTTCTATATTAATATATTTATGTATATATGTATAGAATCAATTTTACAGGTTGATTCGAGTATTAGAATTGTTCTGAATCTTGCGTTTTAGTGTTGGAATTTCAAAGAGTACTCTAGGTATTGTCTAGAGTTCCTACCCCTTAATTGATGCATTAATTAATTTAAGAAGATCAAGTTGATGTAGTTTGATTTATTATAATGTTGAAAGAACAAGTTGATTTGAATCAATGTATATCTCCTACTAAAGTATAATGCATATAGAATGCATGATTA